CAGACAAAGTAGATTAGTGGTAGTAGAACGACCGGAAATGAAGCCGTGTTGATCACTACTAAGATACTGCTTACAACGAGAGAGCAGGGGCTCCAGATGACTAACTCGAATAACGTCGAAACTGAGCTCAACGACGTGATTCCACGGTAATTATCCACGTCTCGTTTGTTTCCTTTTTTGTGAACAGGAAACATATGTGCAAATTTCCAACAAGATGGAAATATACCACTTGAGATGGACATGCGTAATGGATGCTGCAACGGTGTCAGCAAGCTGGCGATATGCTTCTTCAGAAATACTGATGGGACACCATCGGGTCCTGGGTTGAAGGACGACTTTTTTTTTTTTTTGTTTCCTTTATTTGAGAGATTTTTAGCCATAGGCTAGTTCATCTCTTATTGAAGGACGACTTAAGTTGTTGTGTGGCAGTGGAAATTATCTCGACGTCGATGTCAATTGCACCCAACGCTTGACCGGACAGTGGTACATTACTAGCTGCTAGGGTAACGTGGTCGTCGGTTAACATCTCATCAGAGAGCGCTGGCAAACTTGTCTGAAAACAAGCGTCAGATCTCCTGATAGGTTGAAAATCATTGACGATGGTAGGCCAGACTGTTTGCACTGCTCGTTAACGTAATTCCAGAAGGACTTCGGGTGTGACTTGAGTTTACTCTGAATCCCACGTTGATATCGCGAGCGAATAGCATCGATGGCTAACTCGCTTGAACTCATGATTGAGTCTAACGTAATGATGTTTCAGCGACAGCGTATGATACTTGGTGAATTTCCTTCGCAATTGGCTCGTCTGCCAAGGAAGGTATGACCCTTTTCGGTGAACTCTCTTCGGAACGTGTCTGTCAACATACGCCAAGACATATGAAAAAGTTTGCGCAGCTGTTTCAACGTTATCAGGGTCCAAGACGCTCCTCCAGTCTATGCTAGACAGCACGCCGATGATACTTCTATGATCAACTTTCCGAAAATCGTATGACACGTTTGTGGAAATGTCTTCAAAATCCCGAACGTGACTATCTTGGACAGTGACAACCAAAGGAGGATGATGAGGAACTTGCTTGACTAGTGGAGAAGGTGCCGTAGAGATAATTGGAGCAGTGTCTTGAGCGTTAACGAAACAGAGGTCTAAGCTTCGATGTTCTCGTTAACTACGTCATTGATTTGAGATAGCGTTGCTGCACTATAGCAATCGAGAAGGCTAACTGATCCTGTATGAAACACAGAGCGTACAGGGTCTGGATAGAGAAAGCCACTGTGAGATGGTTTCCACGAAACACCAGCCAGATTGAATTCACCCAGAACAATTATCTCATCAATTGGAGTTGCAGTTTCCATTACGGCGAAAACGAACTGACAATGGGTTTCGATAAGTTCGTTGTCACGAATACGGTCAGGAGCAATGTACACCGCACATGAGTACAGTGTGCGATCACTCAGTTCAACGGCAACCCATGCTTGTTCCACACAGTCCCACGCGTCATTTTCTAAAGCTCTCGTCTTCAAACCGGAACGGACTGCCACAAGAACACCACCTCCACTAGATTTCCAACTGTTCTTAGAATTTCGGTCGCAGCGAAAGACTACATACTCGCGTCCAAACGCCTGGCTGGAGAGCGTTCGAGAATCGAGCCAAGTCTCGGTTAGAACGATTACATCATAGCAACGGTCCGATCTTTTGAAAAATTTGAATGCTATGTCATACGTAGACTGGCAAATTTATTCTTAGTTATTTTAGTGATAGGCAACAGTTTGTGCTACTGAAAGATGTACAGAGCTCGCTCTGGCCAGTAAACGTAGCAGTTCCTTTTATTTCTGATCTACATCAACGATATTGTAAATTTAAGGAATAGCCAAATAATTTGCTAATGATAGTGTGTGTTTGACTAGTACTGTCGCGCATTAATGGCGCTTAGCTCATTTTCAACTTCTATTAAATTTTCATACTGCCGTATTCTAGCGGAACTATCTACCTTCCCTCTTATCAGACTATTCTCTAGCCAATAAATTATCACACTAAAGCTTCATGTTAGATAGCATTTCCAACCTACTCTTGAGATTTCCTGTTGAATCAGAATAAATTTCCGTTTTCTTCCAGAAGTCTCTTCCAGCCCTCCCAGAAATTTTCATATTCAATCGAAAGTTCGTCTTTTCAGATTTGCATGGAAATGTCTTCAGACGTCCTTGGAACATTTTCCTGGCCTGCCGGAAATTTCTTCTAACTTCCCTTGGACAATTGTTCCGACTTCTTCCAAAATATTTTTTCGATTTCCCTGAGAAGATCTTCAGATTCCTCTGGAAGTTTCTTCAAACTTTCTCTTTGGAAATTCCATATGACTTCTCTAGTAAATTTATTGTAGCTTGCAGTCAAAAATCCGCCTACAAATATTTCCCGGGAAACTGGAACAGATTCCCAATGATCGGGACACGTGATTTTTGGTCAATTGGAATGGTTTTCCGGGATGTCGCGGGTAGGAAACATTACTACGGACATTGCTCCAGTCTTGGTTGTTTTTAATTTGATCTCAGACTTTGCTCGGGTCCGTGTGTTTTGGTTCTCCGACTCCTTGCTAAACAAGGGAATGTAATGAGGTATTCGTTTTGGATACAGTTATCACACATACTTGCTCGTGTCACAAGAAGCCTCATTCCAAGGGTTCTGAAACCTATCAAAATATACGCCATCTCATAAATTCTCAGTAAAAAACAAGTAATGATACTTGATATTTGACCATGCATCAGAACCTCGGTCCAAACTGATGACTCTGGTCATGTTTCCAATATATGTTCCTCGGAGACTCTCAAAACCGAGGATCATGTCATGTGCATCTCTACAAACAACCATGACAAGAACCCAATCGTAAACAAACAAAGTCATCCATTCCAAACTGGGAATGGTCCACAGTTCAAATTACACAGAATGCAATTGCAACCATATGCGGCGATTGCGCCATAGCTTTAGAATTATTTCATTTCCACTTTCCTCTCCCCGCTTGAGACCTAGACTGATGTGCAAACGAAAGGTTTCACGTTGCGCAGTCGGGTAGGACCACCAAGTCACCAAAAGTGCAGACCTTGCGAAGATGCATATCCAGTCGTCTCATTCTTACACATAGATTAACTAGAATAAGCAAGAACATGTAAATGCTACATAAACCAAATAATTCTGAACACACGCACCAATTCATCGATCAGCAGTCAAACTCTCTTTACTGAGGTCCTTACTGGTAGATACTTTTATAAGTCTACCATAGTTTGGATACCGCATATTCAAAGAAAGCCCTTCCCCAAATGAAGTCTGCTCGATTGATCATGTATGTTCAAACCTGCTACAATCATAAGCATCAACAATAAGAGCATAGGTACCGAGTTCGATGGTGTCGTACATCATACACCAGTAGTGGACCACGAAAAGGTGATCAGCCCACGCTACGGGAGCTTCCGATTGACTATGCAGGGTGATTAGTGCCCACAAGCCACAGTGGGCCAGGAAGTGAAATCTAGCTGGAGAAAATTAATAACGCTCTGGTATTGCATCTAATTTAGTTGATGTGCAGTTTCTTGGAACTGGCCAAACCTTGAACTATAGTTATCCACCAAATTGTGGTCCTAATTAATACAAGGTACTTCACTGACGACGTCAACTCAATTGCTACTAGATTTAATACCTGGCCCACTGTGCAAGCTCCAATTTTCCCATTTTTCGGTAATATTTCAAGTATTGTATCAAGATTGCTGAGATTGTTTTCTCGTTTCCAATTCATGGATTTAAATGTAGATATGCAAGTTTAAGTAGGGTGTGGCACTACTTTTTTTTTAATGAATTCATTGTCCCTATTTACAACTAGCAATAAACGTAAAACTGTCTTCAAGACTACGATATACTCTAGCAAACTGCATAAAACCTTAGCTGAAACATGTAATGTTCTAGGGTTCATACTTTAAAGCATAGAAATCTTGTCCACTTAGAAACTGAACGGAGCCTTTTGTTAATTTCAATGCAATGTGGCCCAATTGTAAGCTGCTGGCATACAATCAAGTCACAATTGACATACGTGCCATTTATAATAAATGTCTCATAGTCTTATAGACCATGATCTACTCTTGAAGAATGCTTTATAACTTTTGCAATGTTGCTTGCACAGACCATGAGGCCGACTCAAAATTGAGTTGGATTCGGCTCAATCTAGAAAATATTGGATTTACTCACAAAGCTAGTAGAATCTTTCGATTTTTTCCTCAATAATCTGCTCGAAAGTAAAAAAAATTCGACGAAAATTTCACTCAGTCTTGGAGGATATCAATAGACTGAGTGAAAATTCTGTCGATTTTTCTCATATCCGGGAAGTTTTCCCTGGAAAATCGAGGGAAAAATTGACACACCTTGTGAGTAGATCCACTATTTTTTCAAAATTGAGCCGAATTCAACTCAATATCGAGTCGGTCTCATCGTCTGTGTGGTATCATAACGTATGCAAGATTGCTTAGCGCACTTCTTTTGGTGATGAAGAGTTGACACGCTGCATTTTCATCATACATTTCAAATATATGTAAGAATTTTTGGATTTGCTGATCACTACATTTTATGACACTATGCAACTCTAGAACTTAATATTGTTGACATACAATTCCAGTTTTGAGTGAATAACTATGGATTTTGCTAATTCACCCTGACCATATGTTTTTTTCTCTGTATTGCAAAAACTATGTGCATTTGTTCAGCACTTCGTCGTCCAACCAAACGCTTTGGTGCAACTATCCACAAAACGAAAAACCAATCACACATTTTTCGCACGTTTCCCAGCAATCCTTATCCACTTCAAGTGGTATTCGTCCTGACTGCGAACGAAACATTTCCCAAGCATTACATTCTTGCACACAACTCGTCCAATGCGTTGCAAACACAGTCTTTCCGTATTTCCAATCTTCACTTCTGCGCCGTCCGTCCTCCGCACAACCCTCCGGCTCTGGGGATCACTGAAAATTACCTTGAAGGCCATTTTTGCACAATTTTTCAAACACCACACACTGCTACTAATCCCGTCAGAAGAGGACAAATCGAACCACGAACGAAAGTACTACAAGCTTAATCTGCACCGCACTGGAGACTAGCACTGAATGATGTATAAACTATAAAATTTCCACGCTTTTATAAAGCTGTTTCGAGGGGGCCAGCTGGGAGCCCGCTGGAGCGCGCGCCCGCTTGTGTACACTTTTCGATGGATTGCGGTCTCTCCCGCGCACCAAGAGAGCCTCTACCGAACCGGTAAGGTGGCGACGACGGCGGCGCGATGGAAGACCGGCAGCGGGCAGAAGTAGTCGGTGCTGCGGTGCGCACGAAAGAAAGCGAAACTGCATTTTTCCACCTTGGAAAATAGATTTAAAGCCCCAAGACGGCTCGAACGGATGTTCTTCTCTCACTCTGCAGAGCGTTCGGTTCGGTGTCGAATTGATTGCCGAATTGGATTCGGGAGATTGTCAATTTGGTTGTGCAAAATTTGGGCACGGTACGATTTTGCACATTTCGATTGTTGCAGAGCAGAAACAAATTTGGACACTTAATCTTAGCTTCAGATAATGCGACAAGATTAGTTGAAGTTGATTTTTGCATCGTTTCGGTGGTATGAACATAATAAAGAAAAGAGCTGAGACATGAGCCTTGGGGCAGGCCCATGCAGCTAATTCTGGAAGTTGTCAGTTGTCCAAGGGAAAAGTTCCTTTGCTTTTCTGACAACAAATTGTACAAGAAATTATTTAAAATTCCAGGAGGTCCACATCTGTGCAGATTGTCTGACAGAACTTCAATGGAAACTTAATCAAAAGCCCCCTTAATTTCCAAGAATACTGAAGCCAATTGCTCCTTGTGCGCAAAGGCCAGTTGAATACCTGTGGAAAGCAGCGCTAGACAATCGTTTGTTCCTTTGCTCTTGCGGAACCCAAACTGTGTATTTGATAGCAAGTTATTTGTTTCGACCCACTGATCGAGTCTTCGAAGGATCATTTTCTCCAACAATTTCCTAATGCACGAAAGCATCGCAATCGGACGGTATGAGTTATGGTCAGACGCTGGTTTGACAGGTTTTTTAATGGCTATTACTTTGACCTATCTGCATTCAGGCAGTACAATGTTGTTTTCTAGTAAGTAATTGAATAAGTCTAGCTAGCGTCTTTTGCGATATCTGGGAGATTTTTCAGAAGATTGAATTTAATCATATCGCTTCCCGGTGAGGAGTTGTTCGATGAAAGAAGAGCCATAGAGAATTCCAGCATTGTGAAGGGTCTATCCAGAGAGCCACCGCTTGGAGACGTTTTTCGAAGAATGTGTTGTGCTGGAACTAAGTCTGGACAGACCTTTTTAGCGAAATCGAATATCCATCGGTTGGAATATTCTTCACTCTCATTAGAAGATGAGCGGTTACGCATGTTTCGAGCCACCCTCCACAAGGTGTTCATTGAGGTTTCTCGTGAGAGTCCCTCGACGAAATTGCGCCAATAACCGCGTTTTTTTGCTTTGATTAATTGTTTCAGCTTTGTCTCAAGCTTTGAATATTCCTCGAAGTAAGTGGAGGTTTTGTGTCTACGAAAAGCTTTGAAAGCATCAGATTTTTCTACATACAATTTTGTGCATTCTTCGTCCCATCCAGGTGTGGCTGGTCTCCTTTTGAAGGACGCACTTGAAATTCTTCTTTTTTGTGCTTTCAGTGAGATTTTGTAAATCGTCGAGGAATCGATATTCTTGCAATGGTGGAAGCGTATCTATTTGATTTGACACCAAGTGTTACTGCCGTTGCATATTTCTGCCAGTCAATGTTCCTTGTAATTGATTTATGGTTTTCGTGATTTTTAGACGAAGGGTGCAATATGTTTTCATATTTTTCCTTGAAAATTTAGGCAGTTTTTTTTTCGTTTTTGAGTTACATCTTTTTGAGTTACATCTTTTTGAAGTAATCAAGTTTTGAGTTTTCGCTGAATACTTATATGCGACTCCATCTTTCGGTTCCATGGCAGAGATCCTGCTTTCGGTCCATGGCATGATGTCTATTTACTTTTGGATGGCGAATCATAAATATTGAGCCGTCAGACGGTACCAGTACATAAGGTTTTGTAAGGAGTCCGCATCGTGCTCTCTTGCCGTGCGGATCTATTTGCTTTTTGCTTAAGGAAGTGTTACTACTACCTAAAGCTACAACAAATTTAAACAGCACTTTTCAGTGCTCAACCTGTAAAATTTTTCTACCTTGTTCAACTCCTCTTATTCCTCTTCGATCCTTGTTTGGACCCTACCCGAGGTAATCCTTCTTGGATATCGATTTGGAAAATTCCTCTTCGATCCTTCAGATTCTTATAGTAATCTGCTTGGAAGTCGATTTGGATAAAAAATTTACTGCCGCCATGGCGCCTAAACGCAAAAGAAAGGGGCAAACTCTTGACCCCCCTTCTGAAGAAATTAATTTGAGTAATCAATTTGATTTGCTCACGGATGATGAGAATGATCCATCATCCAAGAAAAATTCTAGTAAACTTTCCCGGCTTAATGCCAAGAAGGAAAAGATTCCCCCTATTGTGATAACCACTACCGATTTCCATGCTCTTCGCATGGAACTTTTGAATTTCGTGAAAGTTAAGTTTTCACTACAAATTGGACGTCGGGGTGAATGCCGTGTATTGGCTGAAACCTTGGACGGATTTAAATGTCTTCTCAAGTATCTTACTGAGAAGAAGCACAAATTTTTTACTTACGACACCAAAACTGAACGTGTGTTCAAGGTTGTCATGAAAGGACTGCCCAGTGGTGAATCCCTGGATCAGATCAAAGATGAACTGGCAAAATTACTTGGAGTTGTGCCACTCCAAGTAATCAAAATGAAAATGAAATCCCGTCCTGGCGATTCGCGCAACGGGATTTCTAATGATTTTTATTTAGTTCACTTCAAGTCTAGTGAACTAAACAACCTTAAGGCCTTAGAAAAAGCTAGCCTTATGCTCCATGTCCGAGTGAAGTGGGAACACTTCAGGAAGACTGGAGGAAATTTCCAAAACCTCACCCAGTGCCGTAAGTGCCAGGGATGGGGTCACGGAACTAAAAATTGCTACATGCCAGCTAAATGCATGAATTGTGGTGATTCCTCTCACGCAAAGGACGACTGTCCTGTGAAGGAAGATCCTAAGAAATTTAAATGTTCAAATTGTGGTGAAAACCACAAATCCAATTTTTGGGAATGTAAGACTCGCAAAGCGATCCTACAATCTCGTTCTAACCGACAGGTAGGAAACGCTCCACGTTTCCGACCAGGTACAAATTCCTCTGCTGTTAACAACGGTCAGCGAGGAACAAATTCTACATTCGTACCCGTAGGTACAAATATCACCCCTGCTTCAAATGTTTCATCTGTACCTACTCCCCTCGCTGCTAACAATGTTCAGCGAGTTAATGGAGCTACCTATGCTGCTATTGCAGCGGGTAGAAATCAAAATACTAACCAACGTTCTAACGGAAATTTTGACAATTTTGACTTAGGAAGCATTACTGCTCCTAAAATGGAATTTTTACAGAATTCATTAATTGACATGATTTCTGATATGCTTAAATCTAACTCCATGTTTGATGCTATTCAAACTGGAGTAAAATTTGCTAATAATATTGTCATGACTTTAAAATTCAGTAATGGATTTTAAAGCATTAAACATTTTAAATTGGAATGCTCGATCTCTTAAAGATAATGAAGACGAGCTATTTAATTTTTTGAGAGTTCATAACGTGCATATTGCCGTTATAACTGAAACGTTCCTTAAACCTGACCATAAGGTTAAGAAGGACGCAAATTACTTGATTTACAGAAATGATCGTCTTGATGGACCCTGTGGTGGCGTTGCCATCATTATTCATAGACGAATCAAACATAAAATTCTTTCTTCATTTGAAACCAAAGTTTTTGAAACTTTGGGAGTTTCTGTTGAAACAAAATTTGGACAACTTACGTTTATAGCTGCCTATTTGCCATTCCAATGCGTAGGCCAGCAAAAGAATTTTCTCAAGGGTGACCTCCAGAAACTTACCCGTCATAGGTCTAAATTCTTCATTATTGGTGATTTTAATGCAAAACACCGCTCATGGAATAATGCTCAAAGCAATTCCAATGGTAATATTCTGTTTGATGATTGTTCTGCAGGTTATTACACTATTCAATATCCAAACAGCCCAACATGCTTTTCTTCTGCAAGAAATCCCTCAACTATTGATTTGGCCTTAACTGATTCATGTCATCTTTGTAGCCAATTGGTTACCCATGCTGACTTCGGTTCTGATCACCTTCCAGTAACTTTTGAAATATCCCAAGAAATAATTTCTAATCCCAACAGCTTTACTTTCAATTACCATAGGGCTGATTGGGAGCAATATCGAACATTTATGGAATATAACTTCGATCCAAACATTCCTTTGCAAACCAAAGATGAAATTAATTATGCTCTTGAATCTCTGACTACTTCTATAGTTGAAGCAAGAGCTGCCTCAGTACCAAAATGCGAGGTTAAATTCGATTCAATTATAATAGACGATGATCTTCAGCTCTTGATCCGTCTTAAAAATGTCCGTAGGAGACAATTTCAAAGAACACGCGATCCTGCCATGAAAGTTATCTGGCGGGATTTGCAAAAACAAATTAAAAAGCGATTCTCTGCCCTGAGGAACAAAACTTTTGAAAATAATGTTTCTAAATTAGACCCGAGTTCCAAACCCTTTTGGAAACTCACAAAAATTTTGAAAAAACCTCAAAAGCCAATTCCAGCGCTTAAAGAAGGTGGTAAAATTTTGATCACAAATTTGGAAAAAGCTCAGAAACTTGCTAAGCAATTCGAGAGTTCCCATAATTTCAGTTTGGGTCTTACTAGTCCTATTGAGAATCAGGTTGCTGGGGATTTTCTGAATATTTTCTCTCGGGAAAATATTTTTGATGATTCCTGGGGGACTGATTTGGACGAAGTAAGGTCTATAACTAAAAAGTTTCAAAATATGAAAGCTCCAGGTGATGATGGAATTTTCTATATCCTCATCAAAAAACTCCCAGAGAGTACCTTGTCTTTCTTGGTAAAATTATTTAACAGATG